CTGTTCCAAACAAAATGTATTTTTGTTTTACACTTGTGTAAACAAAATGACAAATAAAATCTGTCTAAGTCTAATGAAACCATACTTTGAATATTTAAAAATATTCTTCAGAAACCAACCAAACAACCAAAAATCGAGGAAATTAACTTAATGGACAGTAAATGCTCTGATAAAGAAAGAAAGTATAAAGAAAGTACTACACTATATTTTTTTAAATATATATTTATTATTATTATATTTATTATATAAATTGGAGGAAAGCTGGAAGGATGCCCCTTTTAATAATGTATTTGAAATAAAATAAGGGAACTCAATGTTAAGATTTTGCACAATATGTACGCTAAACAACAAAAAGTTTAATATTTAAAGAATTTGATGGAATTTGTACCTGTTGTCAGGTCGAGTCATAGAATGTTTTATGTAAATTTTTTAACTGTCCTCTGTCTTGGAGGGAAACTGATAAATTTCTATGTGACAAAGCAAATTTTACTTTCAAAATGGAGCTCCTTAACAAATGCAATGCTCCTGTTAAGGACATTTGACATACATTTAGCAAAGGTTCTCTAAGTGCCTTCAAAAATTATTGAATAAGGTTCTTAGTGAACTTCTTTCATAGATACTCTGAAGCCAACAACAAATAAGGAGGCAGAATACACACTACTGGATGCCTAAAGTTTACTGTTAATACTGTATGATAAGACCTATTTGGCCTTCTACATGAAAGGTGTAGAATTTATTTCTTTAAGGCTACATTTTATTTCAACATTTTTAAAGAAATAAATCTAGTTTTAATGGTTTAAAAATACATGCATTGTTGGAACATGAACATGACCTAAATTTGAATGTTGTTCTTAGTTTTTATTTTATTTTTTAATGGCTTCCTGGATGAGTCATCAGTGTGCTTTTAAAGTAAAGTGGATGGAATGCCTCTCCTGGGAATAATCATTAATGTTCCATGTGTTCTCCATTTGTGTGTAACAGCTTTCTCTTCGGTTTAGTGGAGACCCAGTTCCTTAGTAAAATCTATAAGTCTTTACTTTGTGGACTGATAGATTGTAATGACTTGATCTTACAGTCTGTATCACTTCGGGTGACAGTTTGTACTTAATTTTATGTGTTTTCCAAGATAATTAAATGACATGACTTAATCACATTAGCTACAAGAACCTTTTTTTTTTAGCCTTGCAACAAACCTGTATTCTCCTGCTGCTGAAACAAAAATTTGTCACATTTTTTGCTTATGTTTTTATGCTTTTAATTTTTAATAGAAATGATATCATTTTATAACCTGACAACAGCCAGATGCATGTCTCGCTCCGCCTACTGTAGCTCCACTCACGTATGTGAGTGGAGCTGGGCGGAGCGAGACATGCATCTGGCTGTTGTCAGGTTAATCATTTTATATTAAATGCAGAATGCTAAAATGTTTATTATCGTAGTTCAGCTTTCAGTAGTTTGACTTCAGTTATTACTGTAAGCCTTGTGTTTTCCCTTTTTGTCCTTGTCATGTTAAGTTAAATTTAGAGCTAGTTTTACTAGTTACTTAAACATGCTTAAGATTGTTCATTTGAATAAAATAATTTCAGGTGTTTTTATTTAACAAAATTATATAACACTTCACTGATAACATGGCATCACATCATCAAACTTTACATGAATATAACTGTGAAAGATGCTGATGAAGATTCTCAGTCATCCAGGTCATATTCATTCCTTAAAAGTTCAAAAAAGTTCAGAAAAATCCACTGGACTTGGTTTCCAAAGTTTGAAGACGTTTCAACGACATTTGAATTGAGAAAGCTTCGAAACCAAGTCCAGTGGATTTTTTGAACTTTTACGGAATAACTGTGAAAGATAACATCTATAATTGTGGCATACACAGTTATTAGATAAAAATATAAAATCCAGAATATATTTTCCCTCTCATGTATAAAGTTCTAAATAACCAAACTCCATCTTATATCAGAGATATAATTGTTTCTAACAGAGCACTTCCCTCTCAATCTGCAGTTTACAAGTGGTACCCAGAATTTCTAAATCCATCATTGGATGCAGATATTTTATTCATCAGGCTACTCTCCTGTGGAACTGACTATAAATTCTATCCCATGAGTCAGACAATGTGCTCAGTTTTAAGGCTAATAATAAGAATTTTCCATTTTGATAAAGCTTATAGTTAGAGCATCTCAGGTTATTCTGAGCTATATCTTTAGTTATGCTACTATAGGCATAGACAGCTGGAGAACATAGGGACCAGTTTTCATAATTCTGCTTCATTCTTATCTAAACTCCAAATCTGTAGTATTTGTTAGTTTATTCTTAACCTTTATGTTCCTCTGAATTTTTTTTGGAAAAGATGCTTCATCTGGCCTGGTGCTCCGTTTAGCTGTGACACCATCTTGGATGTAGCCACAAGCTGCTCTCAACTGCCTCAATTATATAGTGTTGGACTTGTTCATCAGTGCTTTAGTTGGGTTTCTCTCCTATGCATAGCTATGGGCTCTAATTTTACTGTGACTAACTGTATGTGCTCTGTTTCATCATTTTTGACATGAAAACCAGTTCATATCTCATCTACTTAACAATTTCTTTCACATACAGCGCCACCCATGGAGCTAGTTTAGCATTACCTTTTTACAAATATAACTTTTTTTATTGACCAGTGCCTCCATGTTTCTTTTGTTTGTCTGCCTCTGTCTTTTTGAACCCCCTATCAGCCTCAGTGGAAGGCATGGTTCTTCTAGTGGATTCTTCTTGTTAAAAGGGAATTTTTTTTCTTTCCACTCTCGCTGCATGTATGCGCGGTAGGAGATTGCCATAAAGTTAACTACACCACATAAGCAACTGTCTACTGTGGCTACATGCTCATCCAGGAGGAGCGAATCCTGCAGTCATTTTGAAAGATTTATTTGGCTTCTATGCTTTCAGTTCATGTTTTCAACATATTTGATTGGATATATCAACTGCACACCATAGCCAATTAATCCAATGCACTTATACAAGCATAAACTTACTCAACATGTCACAGAGTGTTGTTTTTTTATTCATTTATCACACAACTTTTAAACATTACACAACAATCATGCAAGAATAGTGTGGAATTTTGTACAAAGCTCTACAGGCTTCGCCAATCACACAGAAATAACTGGGTAACATCTTCTCAAAAACACAAATGTGAGATAAAGATGCAGGTGGTAAGAAACAAAACTGTGATAAAAAGACATGGAGGATAGAACTGCTATTGACTGGGACCCTTCATTTGCAATTTCTTGCTTAAAGTAGTTTTGAAAAGGATTGCTGGCCTCATTGTTTGAGGGCAAAGAGTTTGTTTCCTAGGGAGGCTGCAAAGGTTTCACAACCCAGACTATCACCATGATAATATTACTTTTTTTTTTGTCCAATTTCCTCCTTGGAATTAATATTGGATTCTAAATTGGGGTCTTGTGGCCAAAATCATTTAGGAGTTTGCATTGGTGAGATAAACTCCAAAATTCATACCAACATCCAGCCTCTTTGAGTTGAACATGAGCTTCAGTGTAATATCTACATTCAACCATCCACATTAGGATACTCCGTAAACTTCAATGCTTATTTTAATTTCTTTAACAGTTGTATCACTCCTTTATAAGACCTGAAACCAGTTTTTGGAGGAACTTAATTTCATAGCGTTAAGCAAACTTGATACTAGTTTATATTTTTGGCATTTAACTATACAACTTAAATCATGATTGAAACCTTCATAAAAGTATAGCACAGTTAAGATAGACTGTATACATTTATTTTATGTGCTTATTACACCAACTAGCAAGCTCTTTTTGCTAACTAGCAGGGTATGAAGATATACAGGAAAAAAAGAACAAGAAACCAAATCTTTTTTTGTGTGTAAAATACATTTCGTCTTTCAGCAGAACATTGAAACTTTAAAACTGTTTTACATAATGTGAAGATAAAAAACGTTTTACAGTAAGGAAGGAGTTAAGGACTTATAACGACGATATCTTTACCTTGAAGTTAACAATGTAAAGACAAAACGTTAATGTAGAACCAGCATATGTACAATGAAGGAAAGGATAAAAAAAAAATGTTCCTCTCTAAACACTCAGTTGAAAATTAACCCAAAAAATTTTCATTAAGCAGTTGTTATTTTTAAGAATCTGATTTTGGCTAAAAGTTGACACGTTACAAAAAGATAACACAAATATGTGTTCAGTCTTCACAAACAAAATGTTCAGAAAACTTAACATGTGTTAATACAGATAGAAATATATAGTACATAAATAGCGTAGATAAATCTTTAGTGCTTTAATTATTTAAACAAAGATATTTTTGGTTTTATTAGCGTTAATCAAACCAAGCTAATGTTAGATTTGTTCTCCAACTAGCATGCTGTGACACTGTAAAGAAAAAAAAACGAGCTTTTTTGTTTTGCGAAAACAAAAACTTTCTGAAAATTACTGCTAATTTTTAATCATTTTCAGAAAACTGGACTGGATTTCTAGGTGTGATAGGACGCCAACACTACAGAAGCTAGCTTGAAGGTAAAAATGTAACAGGACAACGTGTAAAGACATTGCAAATGTTTTTAAGAGTAACGACAAAAATTGGTACCAGCTATCCTAACAGTTCGAAATCTTCATTTGCACTATTTTAGGCATTTGATGCTAGCCTAACAGTCGTCGCAAACACAACTGTGTTCATTATCCTGACACTGAGACTGTAGAAAATTCCTACCACAGAAATATTTCAGTATTATTTGTTTATTGTTTAATCATGATTTTTACCTTTAATATTGCAAATCTAAGCTCATGTTAGCGTCTTTATCTAACTAGCGGGATGTACAGATTTAGACCAGAGGTCATCAACGCGGTACCTGTGGGCACCAAGGGGCCCACGGGTACCGGATCACATGGGCCGCCCTCAGCTTCTTCTGAAAACAGAACAACTCACCAGTGGCCTTAGTTAGAAATTGTATTTATACTTTTCCTCTTCTTTTTAATCATTTATACAGCACTTCATCATATTAGCCATACAGATTTGAAAATGTAAATATTTAAAAGAAAATCAAAAATGTCAAGTTTACAATTTAATGTGTTTATTATGGATGAAGTTTAGGTGAATGCTGACCCCTCCACCTCATAGGTCAGTATTGGTAGCCTTTCCTATGACTCAGTAGCCATGAAGTAGCCCTCAGCCTTTGAAATGTTGGTGACCCCATAATTTAGATGAATTTTTTAAAATAAACAACTCTGTTTGGGTAAACCAAAATAAACTACTAATAACAGCAACGTATTTCTAAACAGAAAATCAGGATAAATGTTTAAATTTTACACTTATCCAGGATTTTAGAACCCAACTTAGGTTGGAGGTTAAGAATTACGGACAAAGTGTAAATTTAAGACTCAAAATTAGATTTAAAGACTTCAATTAGCCTCCATAACCCATTCTGACACATACTCATACTTTAAATAAAAATTTACCCATAATTTCTTTTAAAGCAGAATAGATTAGTAGAAAAATTAGACATAAAGAAGCTTGTTGGGAAAAAAAAATACATTCAGGAATGACAATTTGAGCTTTCAGTATCAAATGCAGCTTAAATGTTCAACTTAAGTCCGTGTTGTTAATCACACCAGACTGCCTCCCTTTTATCTAGTACAATTTCAACGCTAAATTAAACCTTTCAAGATATCGAATTCTTTGGTAAAACTTACAAATCATTTTTTCTGACTCTTTCGGTACATTTCTTCACTCTGTAAAGAATCCTAACATTTATTTAAATGCCTTGCACAGAATGTCAAAAAGTACAAGAAAAATAAAAACAATAGCAGAGCTTTCATAGTAGCCATGAATACATACACTGAATTATTGCACCAAATGTACCAATTCTAAATTATTACCAAGAGGAGCAACTAAATACAGTTACAGTACAACTCACAGTTGCTCGTACTAGTCTTAGCCTATACCATGCTTTTGTGTCGTATATATTGCGTGTATATGAATTATAAAAATCATAAATACAATAAACGAAGCTTGACAATTGACAGTAATGTATGAGAAATACTAGTTACTTCAGACGCCTGTTAAAGAATGTATTCTGTGTACACATCTGTAGATCTAATTTGTTCACAAATTGTAGTATAAGCAGGAGTTTAAAGGCTTGTGATGGACCAAAAAACACAGTAAATAGTAAGATCAATACATAACCATGACTGGAGCTTATTTCTAACAAAAAAAAAATTCTAGTAAAAAAATTTATTAATGTATTCTAGTTGTAAGCAATGATTTCTTTGTAAGAGTATGATTAGATTGTAATGAATCTAATGTTACAGGATAAGGAGAAAATTAGCATTATAGGATTATTTCATATGATCAGAAAAGCAGAAACTTGCTTTAGGCCATTAGTTTCGATAATAACACAACTTGACAAAAAATGTTGAGAGTACGTTTAATTGCTCTGGCTGCAGTCCGAATGAGGAAGCAGTACGTTATAAATAAATCCATAAAAGCTCTTTTACTTGGTTTAGATTAAAAATGATCAAAGGTACAGATTGGTGACAAAACCAAGAGATACAAGGTGTCCCTTCTTTTTATATTTCCCACATAACAGCTACAAGTTTACCATGTCGAATCAAAGACAGTTTATCATGTAACACTAGAAAACAAAAACAAGAAAATTATTTCTTAATGCGATGAAAGATGGCATCATAGTTAATGTTCGTATATTTTCTGATATCAAAAAAAAGCCTCTTGCTTATCTACAGCTATTTGTAATGAGGTAACGTTTATCATACTTTTCTTTTGGATGAGATAATTACACGTGGTTGCTGTGTAGAAAAGGACTGATTTATAAAATGTACAAAACCTATTTGTAGTGTAAGATACAAGTATGAGCATTGCAACACCCGAGAAAAGTGGACAGAGTCAGTGTGGAGAAACTATTTCTGTGAAGAAAGCCAGAAAAAATATTTCAAGGACTTATTTGGCAGCAGAAAACAGGACAAGAAGTTAGGAAGAAAAGCCTGCAGGATAAACATGAATCCCAATGGTTTCAAACTCACTGAGAATAATATTAAGAGATAAATACAACACTTGTTAGTTTCGAAATGACTACAAAACAAAACATGAAAAAAAGACACATAACTTATCTCTAACAATCTCTAGGCTGAGTTGTTTCAGACAATAGCATGCAAATAATACATAGAGCTTTTTGAAGCAACATTTTGAGTAACAGTAAAAAGAGAGTCCTAAAAGGCAGAATTCTTCTGAGAGTTGTAGAGCTGCCTGAAATTGAAGTTGTTTTCTGATGCTGTTAGTTTGTAGCCGACCCCTCCACTGCCTTTCTTCAATCATTAAAAAAGAGGTTCTGAAGATTTAAAATGACTTTTCTGGCTGCAAAGAAACAGAGACGTTTTTTTCGACTTCATATACTTGCCATTTTAAACTAAGCCTACAGGGCATGTTTTGTATTTTAAAACCACAATAACTAAGGATGATACAAATATGAAAAATTAATTGAAAAGCCTATTATATTTTTAAAAAGCAGGAAAGCTGTACTAGTTAATGATGAGGACATGTGGATCCACAGTGTCTAATTAAGTATTGAGGTTAATGGGATATGGATTTTTAATAGGAGTAGTTTAAGTGTATGTGTGTTCAGATCTCAACAAGAGAGAAAAGACCAAGTGAAGACTTTGATAAAAACGATCATCTACGCAGAAATTGTGTTTGATAGGACAGATAGCTTGAGCAGGAAGCAGTGAGCAAGACCACAGATGTACACAGCTTTTGCTTGTGAGCAAAAGGTTTATAAAATTGAAAAAGTAAAATCTTTTAAAGATATTTTAACATCTTATGTGAATGTTTGATTACAGTCTCTTGTTCAGCTTAAAATCTTTTTCTGTGTCTGAGCTAATCAAAGAGAGGATTCCACTGATACATCGCCAATGCCTTCTTTTACAGTACCTCAATTACCATGTAATAACATGGTAATAACATAGCAAGACTAGGGCTGGGTATTTTCGCCAAAGTCATGAATCGATTCGATTTTGATTAATACAGTTCTAAATCGATTCATTTCGATTTGATCTGTTTTTACAACAAAGTGGTTCAACTGTGTTTCAAAATACTCATGTATTTTATTTTTTCGTGTCACATTAAACACAAAGTGCAAACTTGTAAATCAGACAGTTTAAACTTGAGATGTGAACAAAACTGTCTCATAAGTGCAAACTTGTTTGTGAAAAGTGAAAAAGTGAAGCCCACGAGCAATCAAAAGTGACACAGCGGGGACACAGCAGACATGCATGAGCTGCATTAGCTTCGCTGCAAAAACCATATTTGCAGCGTTGTCTGTTAACAACTACAGGGTGTTTGCTGGTCAGCCCCCATTTGTTAATGTCTTCAATCAACCTATTGGCTATATTTGCAGCTGTCTGGTTTGAAGTCATCTTGAGTGCATCTGTCCTGCTCATTTGAATGTGAACGTCACGCACGTCACTATAAAACGAATCAATCTCATTCTCTAGACTTTGATTCTGAAAAAATGTAAAGGAATCAATTCAAATTGATTAAATACATTTTTTTCCCCAGCCCTAATTAGGACACTATATTACTTGGTAACAAGAAAAACTTTATTAAATGAAGGCATATAATTTCATATTGATTATCTGCATGCAATTATTACAATTCCATGTTATATATATAACAGTTTCTAAATCTAAGATGTCTAACTTTACCTGTCTGCTTAAAATTTGAAACAGCACTTACCAACATTTCTTGTTAGCCAGTAATATAGTATAACTTGCTATGTTATTACATAGTTATTGATGTACTTTAAAGGAAAGCGTTACTGATGTCTAAACTTCAAGCCCCCATTTTCCTCCACATGTCGTCATGGCTTAAAAAAAATACTTTTTAGGACCAGATTGTTGAAAAAGAAAAACTAACTGCTGATGGATTGAAAGATTTAAATGTGAATGGCCATATTTGGCAGCTCTATTACTGTAAAGAAGTTAAACACACTGCATAAAACACATACAGATTATGTAGAGATAAATGATACATATCAAAAATGAAAATATGTCCTTTTAAGCAACAATTAAGTTTGAAATAATTATAATGTTTAAAATCAGACATTGAAAATTAAAGGCAGACTGAGTTTGTAACGGACTGCTTTTGAATTCCTCCTTATGGTTCTGGTTTAATAGGTCTCCAAATCCCGGCACTAAGACAATGGTTGTCCTGATTTCACCTCTCTGGGTAAATTACCCTGTAAATATTAACTTTAGTGAGTCAAATTTAAGCTGCAGATTTTGCCATCTTTACTTATGTCTCGAATGGACATCACATCATTCACTGATAGGAATTTTGGCATTCCAGTCCTGAATTATCACTCCTAAACAACTTTTAGCTTCATTTTCAGCAGCCTCAATGCAGTTTTTTTCCTTTTGCAACTTTTTAAAATATCTCTAAATTTCTTTAATGGAAGTGAATATAACAGACAAGCAAGAACACAACAAAGAACACAATTAAATATTTCCTTGAAATGATAAGAGTAACAAAAAATAATATTAGTCAAATATATTATATTATATCAATTATACCATCAAAATTAGAGATAAGAGGAGAAGTATGTTGAAAAATGTAAAACTTGTTTTTTTTTTAGGTCAGGCAGTTTCCCACGTTTCTTCAAAAGTTGTTTTTGTTGGCAGCAATGCACACCCAAATTCATTTTCCTTAACTTGTTTTAAAATGCTACACATAAGTCTAAAATGAAGCTGCTACTGTGACTGCTTAATGAACAGCCATCTTTGTTCCCATGAAAAACCCTTGATGAATCTATAAGAAATATCAAACGTTAGCACTGAGGAACAAACTGGAGATCAATCCGGTGACAGGAGCACAGAATGACAGCAAGACAAATATATTTTAAAAAATGTCATCTCTGCCCAACAAGGACAAGCAGTGTTTCTAGCTGTGAGCAGCTCAGGGTGAAGCAGAAACAGGGCAGAGCCTTTCCTCGTTACCTGGCTTCTCTTTGCAGGAAGGTTCACAGAGGATTTCTTTGTGTGGTATTGGGTAGGGGAACGCCGCTCCGCTGCAGGCGCTGCTGTAAGCCAGTTTGTTGAGTCTGGACAGGCCTTTGATGCTGCCAGGAGGCCGTCCAGGGCTGACTTTGTATCCGGCGGCTCTGGTCGTGCCAAGCGGCCTTCCCGGGCTCGTCTTGAACCCCGCGGCTCTGGTGGTGCCAAGGGGTCGTCCGGTGCTGGTTCTGTATCCGGCCAGCTTGGTGGTTCCCAGCGGCCGGCCTCGTCTGCCCGTCTTCCCAGCACCTTTGGTCTTTTTCTTAGCATCATTGGGTGTTTGCTCTGAGCCTTTTAAGCCAGGTACCTTTCCAGGTGAACGTGGGTCTCCTCCCAGAATATCCTGTCTGTGACACACCATCGGCTTATGGCTCTGGGTGGGTAAGGCCATGGGTGCCAGTGTCATCTGAAGGGAGGTAGGAGGGGGGGGAGGGTAGAACTTGTTGGGCTGCGAGGTGCAGAGTTCGAAATGAGCAGTAGGGTGCTGGGCATCCTCTGCCAGGCAAGACGGCCTGCTGCTCATGCAGAAGTCAGTGGTGGTCACCTGGCGCATCATCTTTCGCTGGGGGTCAAAGCAATAAGTCATTACTGCACAAGACAGTCTGTGATGTTTCTATTGTACAAAGTGAGGACAAAACTAAAAATTTAAATCATGCAGAGCAACTCATTTCAGTAATATCCACCCTATTTATTTTTATGGGCATTTGATCTGCTAGTATTTTGACTAATTTAATCCTGGCATAAATCCAGGTATTCTGAATTCTTCAGAAGTTTGCTAAAGAGCAGAGTTCTGACCAAACATTGGAGACTCCATCACATCCCACCAGTCGGTAAATTACTGTAAAGTCTCCCTGATAGCGTTTAAAGCCTTAGTTATAGTAACCACAGCTCTGAATGATCTTGGGTATATAGACAGATGTTAGATTTGCTAAACTAAACAAGGGGAGGAACCATTTAGACTTATTGCTGATGAAGGTTCTCAGTCATCCAGGTCGTAGTCATTCCAAAAAAAAAAACGCAAAAAACAATCCACTGGACTTTGTTTCCAGGTTTGAAGACGTTTTACTTCCCATCCAGGAAGCTTTTTCTTATTCAAAATGTCAGGAAGAGCGTTGAGTTTGAAGTTTTAAACTGAGGTTTTATACGGTAACAACAGTTCTAGGTTTTATACATTATATATTAAAACACTATTCCTGACATTTTGAATAAGAAAAAGCTTCCTGGATGGGAAGCCAAACGTCTTCAAACTTGGAAACAAAGTCCAGTGGATTGTTTTTAATCTTCTTTTTTGGAATTTAGACTCTATGGGGCTTGGATCAGATCATCCCAGTGTGATACCCTGAATGTTTTTATATTTGCACAAAAATATAGACAAGGCAAATGTATTAATGTGGCACATTAAAATAGGAAGGCAATTCAAAGTGCTGTACATGGACAAAAGAATATAGCAGGAAAACAGAGAAAGTACATTGCGGAGGTAATTGAATAATTAATAAATACTAATAATTCAAGTAATAATATGACTATAAATATGAGAATACAATAATTTATATTAAAATCAAAGGAAGGTGGACTACAGACTCAATAATGATTAGATAGTACACAGAAAAGCCACTCTAAACATACAGCCTTTTTAATCTCCATTTAAAATAATTTAGGGTTTCAGCACTTTGATACTTTACAGGGAGTTTGTTCCAGATTAGTGGAGCATAAGAACTAAAAGTTATATCTTCCTGTTTGAATTCTGTAAATATTTGTTTACATTAAAACAGAAGGTAAATAGTCATTAAGATGCAGCTCACACACTGTTTTAGTCAATAAAGGTGCAATTTTAAGTATTTCCCTGAACAATAACAACTCGTCTGTTTTTTTGTAACCTGACCAGCAGATTTAAAAATCAGAGAAACTCAGTAAAATTAAGGACTAACTTACTGTTGGTATTTTCATATATTAAAAAAATAATAATAATAATAATAAAGACAGCACATTAAAGTGGGGTTGGTAAGTCTATAGATCAAAAACATATACATCGGATTAATCGTGATAATTGATTATTGAAATAAAGGTCAATTAATTTAGTAATCAATTAAGTGTTAACTGGAGAGTAGAGACCGTAAAATATGCCTTTAGCTGTCATTTTGCATTCGAGATTAAAAAAGTAATAATTTTGCCTTTCAATATGCTCTATCCAGAACTCTACAAGTGGAAAACTTTTACTGAAAAAATTTCACCTGGTTTCATTTCATTAAAAAATCTTCTTTAAGGAACCTTTGTCTATCAGATTACTAATTGATTAATTGAAAAACAATAAAGAATCAACAGATTAATCGAACTGCAAAATAATCATTAGTTGCAGCCCTAGTTTTAAAACGTTTTGTAATTACATTTTGTATTACTTTTTCATTTAGAATTTTTGATGAAACGGTTGTCGCATTTGTTGCTTCATATAAACTGATTTTCTGTCGGCTCTGACTCGGGATCATGTCCAGGATGTTCCTGCCTTCACTTTTACAGAAGCTGTTTAATTACTTGTTTAATCTAATCAAACACAGTCTGTATTCTGCTGCTTCCATACTTAAGTTTCAAAACAACATAATCTCAATCATCACCATAGGTGGCGCTGTTTCCTTTTATAACACCATGACTAATAAGTGTGTTTTCCGAACAGCCAGCTTACAGGCAGTGTGCAGTCTCTATATATTCTTCCATATATTCTTCTTATCACCGGCATCTAAGCCTCTTAACTCCCTAAAAAACCCTGAGATATCAACATTGTTTAATGCATTTTTACTTTTACATCGACAAATGATGTGCATGTCATTTCCCTGTCCCATTTTCTGAAAATGTCAGATCTTTCCATGTATGCAATGCTCAAAATGACACTCGTATTAAATTGTGGTTGTCCTTCTAAAATCTGTTTGCTAATGAAACAGTGTATGGAGTGATTTTTCTGCCAAAACCATCCATCCATCCATGCCACCAGCGCTGTGTGGAGATGCAGGGGAAACCGTATCTGATGGGAAAACGCAGCTCGGCGTAACACCGGTTTCAGGTGTTTTGATCGTATGGCGCCTCCTGCTGTCGATTGTCAGAATGACAATTCTCCATGAATCACGTGACTTTTGGCAGAAACTTAACGCAGAGTGTGAAGAGAGATTGTTTTGTACTCGGGGGACAATTTACAAATTATAATTTCAGTGCAATGTTAGAGTCCGCTTTGTAAAACTAATTTTTGTGTGTGCGCAACATTTAAGGACAGTTTTTAAAAAAACATTTATTTGTGTGTGACATTAGATGAGCGTTTGTAACACAAGTTTTAGTTGTGTACAATAAGATTTATTTGAGTGCAACATGTTTATTTGTGAGTGATAAAATTTGTTTATGTGAAACATGCTTTATGCATTTGCAACATGCTTTATGTGTGTGCAACATGCATTTTTGTACACAACATTTTGGCAGAAAAATCACTCCATACCAGTGACCCAGTTGTCCTAGAGAACATAAAAAAACACAAGATAAGTGCAGATTTACCCTCCAGAAAAATCCTAAAATCATAAATTTAGAATCACAGTGCTACTGGGAATAAAATTAACTTAATTAACATTTTAATCTGTAAACATTTTGAGTCCATCAAGAAAATAAACAATAAGATAATTTTAAATAAATGACTAATGAGAGGTGTTCTCTGTGCTGATGAAGAGGCAGAACTGTCAGATAAAAGACACAATCTTTAGTGTTTTTCATTCACAAAAACGCGCACATGGATTCCGCATCTTTGCGGCCAGACACAAAAACCCATCCGTTACCCCGCTGCAACACTTCGGCCCGGAAAACGGCCCAGCAGAGGCGGGCGGCTCTAAACCCTGACATCCTCATTAAAAACACGGGTTGTTAAAGTCCTGTTAGAATAAAGACAGAAACACTGAACCCCACCTTTCCTGTAAGAACGAGCTCTCTGGTTACTGTACCTCGATTGTTCGCTGATCTCGGAGCAGAGGAGAAAAACGATCTTTCATCCATCAAAGCGGGAGTCGATCCATTTTCCTCACTTCTCTTTCACTTCACGGCTCGGTTCGGCTCAGCGTGAAGTCAAACACATCGAATCGGTTCGATGTGAGGCCGGGAAAACGTCTCCGTCCTGCGGGGTTGCTTTATTTCTCAGCTCCGGCGGTTTAGTTAAGAAACGCAGCCATCTTCCATTAAATATTAATAAGAGTAGAGATCTGCGCATGCGCAGAGCTGCTGAGCTTTTCCAGTCTCTCTCCCATTGATCAGCTTGTCTGAAACACGAACCTGTGGTCATGGTTAAAAGAACAAAGATGATGTGAAGGGTTGCTTTTATTTTATTAGGCTCTGCTGTGAAGTAAATATCAAATGACTCGTTTTAAGTCTAAAAATATTTAAAAAGCAAAAATGTGGGAATTCAGGGTTTTTTTTTTTGATCCACATCATTTGGCCCAAACTAAACCGACTCCCAAACAGAACTACAATATTGTCCAGCAATTCAACAGACAGGGAAATAATAGCATATTTATTTCATTTCATTTTTACATCTCCAATTATACATTTTAATATCAAAGAATGCAACAAAAAGCTTTCAGAAAAATCTCAAGAAAATAAAAAGATCAGAACCAACCTGGTTCATCTTCTTTTTTTGCAAAAAAATATTTTTGTAGCTAATAATCTAAGACAGGGGTCTTCAAAGTTTTCCAGGCTAAGGACCCCCAAACTGATGGCGAGATGGAGCGGGGATCAACTAATTATATTTATTTTATGAAATTGTGTTATATCAAACTGGTCCTATAGTCACTCTATTACACAGGGAGTAATGTAATGAAAGTAATTTCTCCCTGGGATTATTAAAGTATTTCTGGTTCTGATTCCTGGTTGATGGGACAGGTGTTGTGAATGAAACCGTGCCCACAGTGAAAGAGGTCCTGTGTGTCGCTGAATGTGTGCATTGATGACTGAAAAACATCTCCTGCCTCCATTTATCTGTGTTGAATTCATGTTAATTTGTATGTGAAGACATTTCAATTAGTGGAAAAAATTGCAGGGGGGTGAATAAAAAAAAAAAAAAAGTCTGATCAACCAAAACTTTTGCGAGCCCCATGCAGTACTAATTTAATAAAGTGTTTTTTAAATGACTTATTGAAGCATAACAGGTTTTCTCTAATTAAAACTGTAACAAGTCTATTGCATAAAAAAAAGGTTAAATTGTAATTAGACTTCACTCCCCTATGCTTTTCCAAGATCCTCTTTTAATTTTTTTTTTACCTTGTAACCAGATTTTTTTCATCCCAATAATCTCATGACAGAATTAAAGCCCTCACCCATTGCTAAAAAGTACTAGTAATTTCTTTTTACATCATCAAATAAAAACCAAAGACTAAATCTAAAACAAAAAAAGAAGACATAAGATCAAAGCGGGCTTCTAAGATTCATTTAAATGAAACGGCACAGTGAGTTGGCTCTGTTGCCGCAGACACATCTGTATCCCTGCTTATAAATAATATAAAAACGGAGGCCTAATGAATAATTAACCATAAAATCTGAGCACACTGTGTTTGTTTCTTATGCAACAAGAAATATGAATATTTTTTTGTTTACTTTACTACATAAAGAAATCTTTTTATTTTTTTCTACAAAAATTTGATTTAAGCCATGTTTTCAACATTTTTGTTTTTAAAAAAATCCCTTAGACAGTTCTTAAGAGAATTGTGCTGCTTTAATGTTAAATTTGAAACAAGTGACGCACATGAGAGGAAAATGCAAACTAAATTATCAATGAAACAGTAAAACACAAATTAAAATATTCAATATCCACTTTGATGAAACTGTACGATGATTTGTGAAAATGCCTCCAATTAGCCCCGGTTCCTCCTCTACAAGACCTTGTAGCGACCTTTGCTTGTTGGCTGGTAGGAATTTTGCTAAAGGAAAGAAAAAAAAAAAACAGAGTCAATTAGACATTTTAAAGACTTCAGACTATAAAAGATAATTATCTGTGAAGATACATACTAATCTGATGAGCTCTTCTTTTATTAGCCGGGTAATCTCTGTTTTGGCTTTCTGCACAGCCAGTTCACTTGCACCTTGAAAAAAATAGGAAATCTCAGTCATGATGTGAAGTTTTACTAGTTAATGCAAAAATAAAATATGGATTCATGTTGTCATCCTCCGACCCATGTTAGCTCCTCTGAATATAAACCAGTCATCAAGTAGAATTTTTTTCCCACCATCATCCAAACAAATTGATTAAATCTTATGTTGTGATTGAGCTGGTGTCTTAAAACCCAGGTATGACATGTTACAGGAGTAAAAAACATCTTTGTTACCTAATAAACCTTTGAAACAAGATCAGCTTAAGATCAAAGTTAATCTGAATTTCTTTTTATTTTGCCACTTCTGGAAATCATAAACTTAAAAAAACAAACAAGATCTGCATAGTTTATATAAGATTTGGGGAAAGAGGTGTGTATGTATTTGTTTCCCCATTCAGACACAGGATAACAGATATTTCAATAAGTGCTAAATAACCAATATAGTCTGACAGCACAGCTTTAAATCTGCTCTGTGATACATACTCTCGATGGCCAGATAGATTTTGCGTTCTCCCTCCTTAGGCTCTTTGCCTGGAGGGAAATATGTCCCTCTGATGGTGATGGCAGCTTCGGAGTATTCCCCGATCCTCTGCAAAGCCTCTTTAGATGTCACTTTCCACCTGGCCGTCTGGAAAACAACAGAAACAGATTTTCTGACTTTATTTTTGCAGGTTGAAAGTTAAGACTTAAGTTTTTCAGCAAAAATTTCCAGCTTCTAATAAAATAGCAGAGAAGTTGTCAAGCTAACCTTTTATTGGTTGGAGTATGTGCTGATATAGAACTGCCTCTCTCCCACCTGTTAGCTGGCTGTAATAAAATCACCTACTTATAACCAGCTAACGACTGGCTATACTATCTTTGTTACTCCTTAAAGAGCAACAGGAGAAAATATACAATTCCGTATTTATTTAATAATTTTCTATAATATAATAGTGTATAGCTTAAGATTAAACTGATGTTATACAACATACTGGTACGTTAATAATCAATATGTGACTGTATTTGGGGAGTGGCAGCCTATTGGTTAGAGAGTAGGATGTTTGTGTCCTAAAGAGGCTGAAAAATGATCGGTCTGTAACTCATACTATCACTCTGGGTCCCAGAGCAACTCCTTGTTCTCCCTTTCTTTTTCTTTAATAGATAGATAATAATAATAATAATAAGTTTGGCTTTATCTTTTAATGAGAACCAATAGAATTCATGTTTACTTTAAAGTTTCTCATGTAAAAACTACAGATTTCTGCCCGACAAACTAAAAAAAAAAAAATCACATTTACTCTTAATTCATATCATCACTGAGAACTTTTGCTTCTCATGCAGGGTCCCTGATCTTTGACAAGCAGATCAACTCATTAAATATGCTATTTAAACCGAGCAAACCCGAAACGGTACGGTTGAATAATTTAAAGCCAGAAGAAAGGTTTATTTTTGGAATGTATCCAAAGCTAATATGGAGAAGTTGAAGTCAAACAGGAACAGATAATTAGTAGAAGAAAAAAGGGGGACTTAATATTTTAGATGATAGCTTGTTTCTCCATCAACAACAAAAGAGTATAACCAAAGCAGGGCTCGATGTTAACTATTGCCCGATCGCCCGGGGCAAGTAGTTTTTATTGTCGGGAAAGTACAAATTTCATTGCATTTGCCCGCCGGGCAAGTGCAATGATCGCAAAAAAAATTATGTATCACTCAAAATTACTTTAAAATCACAGACATTCGCTGAAAATGACCCACAAGCGCTGCCCGCGCCATCTTTGTTGTTTTGTACACATTCTCACGTGATTTGTGATATGAAAAATAAACAAAATAAACATTGTTTTACAGTCTTTAGCAGGATCTGGAGCAAACGGACTCAAACAGAACTATTTGACCTGCGTCAAACGTGGCTTGTGTACAATTCAAAGAACCAAAGATACAAAAGACTCTGGAGAACTGGAGGCCAGCAGCAACACAGTTGTTAGAATTAGTCTGCATCCATATTTTTTTTAGCATTGGCCTCACTGTCGGTCATAGGAGAGGTTTTATTTGAAGTTTTCAGAAAAGGCAAATGGGTCCAAATTTGGGGGTTACTACAACTTAGATGGTGAAAGGCGGAGGTAATGAACGCCCTGCAGGGTTTCTTGGGTTCCTGCAGCATCACAAGCCTGTCACCAATTTACAAGCGAATGAATGAAGTTTGACAGGATGTCCGTCCTCTGGATTAGTGGTGAGGCAAATATAGACCATATTAGACTGAACAAGTTCCTGCTGGTGTTAATATGCAGCCTCTGGCCAGCAGATCGTATACATTTGATTTCTGCTTATTTTAAGCTCAGTTATGTATAGATTAGGTTCAAATTAAAGCTCTTACAATTTGATAGAGAAGACAAACTCACCAATATTAGTTTTTAAATTACAAATCAGGGGTGCAGCATACCTGAGGGAAGTCGTTAATTTCCAGCTCCTCTTCATATCTCTTCACAGTCTCCGCCTGTTCAGCCGCCTGCCGCTCCTCCTCCAGCTTTTCCACGGGTGTGTAGTTCAGTTTGGCGTTGATCTTCTCCGCCAGCTGCTCCGCGATGGTTTTGGCCGACACGGACGGCGTCATGATGGGGTCGCCGCGGAGGATGGCGTTGGTGGCCTGCTGCATCACGTCCTGTACACAGAAAGGAAAACTATTTGATGCAGATTATGATAACAGGACTGGCGGAATGGGAAAAAAATATCAATATGCTGCAGAGAGTAGAAGAAACTTCTTTTTCTACTGACAGCACCACTACAGAAACTCTACATAAAACCTACCTGAGCCTCGGCGCCCAGGTTCTTCTGAGCATTGATCTTGAGAGCGAGCCTTTTAGCCATCTCCAGTTTCTGGTTGTTTCCAGCAGACGTTGGAGCGATGCCTCCCACCCCCCCAGGTGCTGCTCCTCCGGTGCTAACTGCTCCTCCTCCACCGCCAGCTGCGCCAGGAGCAGACAGGTCCTTCACCCTCTTCTTGGAGTTGAACATGCTTTCTATTTGCTCCTCAATCTGAGGAAAGAAAAGTTTTGCACCGATGTTTCATGGCCGCAAATCATTTAAAAAGACAAAAGAACAAAAGGCAGTTTCACACATCCAAGGCTCCATCT